ATTATTATTATTATTATTATTATTATTATTATTATTATTATTATTACTGTAAACAGTTCCATGAATGCTCTTATCTCCGAGACATATAGTTCACAAAAAAATAACTCTTGCACGCCTTGCGTGCCTATGTTTTGATGTCAGTATATATTTAAGTAGCTGATAATATAGCTCTATTTACTACATATCGATTGACTTAACACAGAAAATATCTTTCTTCCAGAGTTGCTTCCTGACCTGTGCGGAAAATTGACGCTGTTTCAATAAAGGAAGAAACAGATATGTAAACTACAATTCTGTTTCAATACTAGGTTATGAGAAATAAACAAAAGTATGGTTTTAATGCATGTAAACAAGTTTATAGCCAAAAAGTGAAAAAAAAAAGAAATTAATGAAATTAATTTCGGCTCTTGCTAAAAAGCTTTACCCAAACAAAGGATACACAAGACTTAAACAAAGAACTATAGAAGCAATGGCTTGTCCGTAGTGTGTTGAAGGTGCACCTGTTATACGTTGTGACTACACCAAAGGTGAGGTTTGACACCATTTCACAGCTATTGTTTTGCTTTGGTTAATTATCACCTTTGACATTCTATAGGAACGTCAAACAAATACCAGCGGTACTTCTCCGCCCCCTCCAGCTGTTGCATGATCCTCAATAACAATTTCGGAACAAAAAAATAACCGAGCCGCTAATAAACATTCCCCGTATCCACGAGATAAAAAATGTGCACGCCACCCACGTTAACAGCATATAGTCACCCATAGAAACCCCGCCAAGACCCGAAATACAGTAGAATTGCCGAAATAAGCTTAACAACAACAACAAACAAACTGATTAAAACACGAACAATGAATGAGCGGGAAAAACCGAAAACAGGCAAAAAAGGAAGACAAATAAAGGGTTGCCGTCCTCGTCCCTGTTCGCAATTTATAAAAAACCACACATAAGCGACAGAGGTAAACATATTTTACCTCAAGCTCTCCGTGTTGAGCTTGTCCCACAGCTTGTTGCGGGTACTTGTACCGCGGCTGGTTGAATTTCCTGAGCCACGTGTTCGACAGCCGGTAAAGCCTCCTGTTCGACAACTTGTTGAACTACTTGAGCTACTTGACCACAGGCCGCTTGAGCTCCATGAGCTGCTAATTCGTCAGCTGGCTGAATTCCTTGGACAACCGGTAGAGCGGCTTGAGCCGGAGCTCCTTGTCCCGCAGGATACTGTACGTCCGCCATAAAATAAGAAAAGGAAACAACGACCCTCACCGTACGGCAGTTGAACCAAAGTAATAATTTATTCATGTGCACTGATGTTATCTGCGTTGCTTTAATGTATGCAGTGTGAATAACGATGTTATTACGCCATTCAACCCTTAGAAGATGAGAAGCAAAGACGCCGCTTGTGATGCGGTTACTTTCTGCCAATCTAAGCTACCACACACATGCACCTTTTCCCCTGCAAACGACGAATGTTGTCCATTTTTCCAATGCCTAAACAGTGGTAAGTATCTATTTCTGATGACAAGGTTGGCACAAGAATTGTGATGAAAAAATTAAAAAGAAAGGTGTCCCTCAAATTAGCATCTAGAGATGTAATTCATTCTTGACCGTTTCCATGGCATATATCTCACAAATAATTTTTCAATTTGGATTATTTGTGGAATAAAATCGAAGCCATTTAACCAGTTTTAATGACTTTTTTTAGCTCCTTGCACCATTTGACATTTGACAGCAGTGATTTAGGTTAGTTTAGAATTTCGCTGCAAATTGAAAACAACAGCATCCCAGGGTTGAACAGATAGTCTCCTTATAGGTACAGTAGTCCTACAACGGGCCCAATGGTCCACTCTGTCTATTTATTATAAATCAGCCATTTTTATCTGTTTTCATAAAGCTTTTCACGATAGGTTACCTGTCACATTAATCGATCTGATTTTTAAGAAACGGGCCACAAATTATTCAACCCGGACCTGCACTTCTTTAATTGTTCCCCGCTTCAACGCGCGTTACATGAAAGACTCTGTCGCGTTCAGAGGCTCAGTCCTGTGGAATGCAGTGACCAACAACTGTAGTGCCCTGACAAAAAAATGTTCCATATCGTGACCTCAGGCTAAAGCTTAAATCTCTAGTTAATTTTAATGAATTCAGCTTTAAGATAACGTCTGCATCCACTTGTAATTTTAGAAAAGATGACTTTGTATATACTTAAAAACTTATGATAACAATCTCTTATTGTATATATCGCTGACTTAAGTTCAAACGTTTTTTCTGTAAATACCCCTAGTTTTTAGTTTTTAGTTACTTAGCGATTAGTTAATTGCAAATGACCCCACAAGCTCATGTAGCTTTAATACTCATCGTTTTAAAATAAAGATTATCTATCTATCTATCTATCTATCTATCTATCTATCTATCTATCTATCTATCTAGTAGTTTAGTAAAACTGTAAGCTTTATTGACGACTCAGTGTCTGCAATTGAAAATTATGGTAGAGTAGTATTGAATTTTTTTTTTTAATTTTAAGTCTTCTGATACGCTCAAGATGAGTCTTATTAGTAATTATCCATGTTGTAATATCTCGTAGTTATTTAGCATCTCAAAACAAATTATTTTCAAATAAATGTTTTAAAAGCGTAGTCTTTGCAGTCTTCGCAATCTTCGCAGTAGCTCATTGGCAGTAGTGAATTTAAGTAACCACGACAGCGACGCCCAGGACAACGCCGTTTTTTTTTTTTTTTTTTTAAAAAAAAGACTATATTTTACCTATGAATCTTGCGATACGCGAAACTAAGTAGATAAGAGAATTCAACTTCAAATTCGATCGACAGGGAAATTTAAAAAAATAATTGCAGTTGGGGTCTTCTTCATAACGCAGAATTTTTTGATTTCACGTCGAAATTTTGCAGAGAACGGCAAAGAAATGTACCAAGAACTATAATACGCACGCAGGACGGTGCCGTTAGTTTTGTGTTTTTCTTAAATTCCCCAGAGTTGAAAATGTCACTATATCGCTACAAAC